TAGTGAAATACTTACGGTCCAGACTGAATATAGCGTTCAAATTGTTAGTACATGTCGGTACTGTAATTAACCCATCTATCAGATTCCGTAAAAAAACCTGAAACATGGAGATCTCCGTGTTTGGCGATCAAGCGTTACGTTACCAAACGTGGAGATCTCCATGTTTGGCAGGCAGAGTGTTAAGTGATTGAGAATGGTATAGTTGCTATAAGTTAATAAATCATGTAGACTGTCAACATTCAGTTATCAGTCAAATTATGTGATCATGAGGGCAGTATAAATGTTTATATAAGCATGTGACACTTTTAATTAATTAATTCTTTCACAAACTGGAACTATTTACAAACAAGCAGACAATCTAATAGGTGTTAACTTTTTATAAAACATGACCAAATCATTGAACAAATGAAAATAAGATAAAAATCTGTTTAACCCCCTCCGACCCCTCACCATCACAAGTTGATGCATCACAGAACTGTCTTAATGTGTTTGAATTACAGTATAACCATCACATTTGCATCGTATAACACGCAAGGAAAAACCTTCACAACAACAAAACAAGTGGGTGTGGGTGCATTTAACTACTAACTGGCCATTAGTGGCCATCACCAGGGAGATGTGATGCTTAACCAACTGCAGGTACTGCAATACACTGAAAAATGACAAAATATGTGTGATAGTGCATAATTATGTTAATTTCAAAGTAAACAAACACAATTATTTTTAGTATGCAACCAATGGAGATGTGGTGTAAGATGTCAGATGGTGACACACAGTTGATGAGGATGATGCAACAGACTCTCGGATGGAATAAATCATCTTACTCGTATCATCATCTTTAGTGCCATTTGATGCCTCATTCTTTACATCCTCTGTAGGTAACTCTAAAACTTCAGCAGATTCATTAATTCCCTGAACATTATTGTCTGTGTGCTGAGTACTTCCAGATTGATGATCAGCCTCATTTTCAATCCTATCACATTCTTTTTCAATCACTTCATGTTTTTTCTCATCAAAAAAATTTCTATTCTCTTCTTCTTTATCATTCTTCAGAATTTCTTCACCTGGAGTCTTCGCAGAATCCTCCGGTTTGCTCTTAGTTTGACTGGCATCCCCATCGTATAACTGACTCTGCTTGTACTGTCTTAATGCTTCTGCTGTTAATTTATGTGTTGCATCCTTTAGTTTTAAAGACTTTTTTACATTTCCCTTCTCACCTTCTACAGTATCAAAATAAGTGACATTATAATATTGGTTAATAATTACTATACAATTAATTAACAAATGTTATACAATTTCAAAAAAATTCCTGTAGGCCCATTGTGTACAGATATTTTGGATCACGATTAATATTGTCTATCTATAGACACTGCAACCAGATACTTCAAAGTAGCCTTCTGACTGGCAGAAAATAAAATGAAATATTAGTAGCTTAATCCATCAACTTGGACACACAGCACTCTACCTATTTATGTAGATAAATGTGTAAATCTACAATAAGCAGCAGACGTGGAATCAAAATAAGTACTATAGAACTTCCATAGTTGCTATGGAAATTTTGCCTAATTACAGGTGTACAGATATAGAAAAAACAAAACGGAAATTTATCATAGGTCCTAGGCCCATACATAATAGGACTAAGTTTAGAACAAATGACTTTTCCATCATCAGGATCTTTGATAGCTAGGAGCACATTTGTGTGATGGGGCTTGTCAAAATTCCGAATAGGAAAGTGTTACCATATCGAGAGGTAGTTTAGCTCAGTCGGCTAATCTGGTGGTAGTCACTGTGTGTGCGCTGAACCGTGGAGATCTCTAGGTCCCCGGTTCAATTCCCATCGCTGCCTCTCCTTGTGTTTCAGCTAGAGGGCTGAAATACAAGTTAAATAGCGCACTGTCTTTCGGATGAGACGTTTAAGCCGTTGGTCCCGTGTGCATTTATGGCCCATATGCACGTTAAAGAACACAGTACACTCTTCAGAAAAGAGTAGGGGATTGTCTCCCGGTGTACTGTCCAATTACCACCAGAAGGACCCCACTGGAAATACGTCTTCTTCTAGACTTTCGTGGGCTATCATTGGTGTTCACACCGAATAAATCCAATCCAATTTAATTTCGGGAAAAAATCGGGGTCACAGGGGCCTTTTCCTGGATTGAGTATTATAAAAAAAAAACAAACACTCGTGTTCTTTCCATTGAATTAATGTGAAACTATATTTGAAGTCAATTGAAGGATATAGTTTCTTGTATGCTCATAGATATCTGTGTTACAATGTCCCTAAGCCTAGGCCAGGCCTAGGCGACTCATCTTGTCAGATTACTGATAAATTATTATTGTGAAAACTAAGAAAAAGTGGCCCGTAAATATTCATCCTCAGACCTGTCTCATTTACTTGAAATTCCACGACTGTTATATCTTGACCTGTACAAATTGAAGCAACCCATTTTTCTTGCACTCAAGACAAATCAGACTTAGTTAGGCCCCAGGCCTACCTAGCCTAGGGGCCTAGGCTAGGATTAGCTACCTACTAGGCCTAGGCTAGACAGTATTCGATCATTTCGGCCGCCGGGGTTGTTACGTTAATAAACAGCATTATGTATTGGTGCGCCATTAAGGTCATAGCATATTGAATGAGTCAATGTACACGTAGTCAATCTCATAATAACCTTTTTGTACCACAATGGAATAACTGTCAAGGCAAGAGAACTTTTTTGTATTGTTCAACAAAGTTGTGGAATGAACTTCCACACGAAACAACAACAAATTTCAAAAACATGTCTATTATATTTTTTTAAAACTCTTAATCATTTTTATTATGATATCTATTTATATATATGTATGTTTTTTAATTACTTTTCTTTTAACTTTTGTATTTTATGAAACTGTACCACTTTGAAAAACAGTACACAAGTACTGAAAGTGCATGCAGTAGAAAGACAGAATAAATTCATGATCTGCGAATGGAATACCAGACCTGACATGAAATTTTAGTCCTTTAGGAGCCGAATTGTTAGAACGATGCTCAAGATAAATAATAAGATGGTTACGATACCTGACGCACTTTTCCGACAAGCGTCGTAGAAATTTGAAATTGTCCAAAGTACCCTCCAGAATTACAGCAGAGTTGGATCAAAATGATACAAACAGTGTACATACATACATAGATTAAAAGGCAAAATACTGGAAAACAACAATGCTGTGTGAAACAATGGCTGGATCTCGGTAGAGATACAAAAATGATAAGCAACAGCTAAAAAGTAATCGTAAGTAAACAGCCAGAAATAGAACCAGAACTTTCGGACAACACTAGTCCTTCCTCAGTGGCGAGTGAGTGAGGGTAATATAATATATATATAATATATATATATATTATATAGAATATAATATATATATATTATATAGAAAATAAGAAAGAAAATAATGATGCGGAAACATAGAGTTAGAGAGTAGAACACAATATAATTTATTCAGGGAACGAATATTTCATCTTGTCCTCAAGACTTCATCAGCGTAACTGATATATATATATACATATATATGTATATAGGAGCTTAGAAGTATCCATAGGGGGAAACTAAAACAATGAAGAGGGTTAAAAACAGTACCTTGAGGCGAAAGTAGTGTCGCTAAGGGGAAACTAAAGTGACGTTAAGGTGAAATCATAGACAAAAGAGTTTCCCCCTGAGAGCCGAATAAAGGTAGTATATATATATATATATATAGGCCTATAATATATATACACAATATACATATATAATGTAGGCCTATACGTATATACATAGGCCTAGGCCTATATATATATATTTATATATATACAAAATATGATTGTCAAGATCAGCAACGTATAGTGCTCAATGCGAATGCAGAGTGTAATAGTAACAGAAAGGTTATGTCGAGCATGAACCTATATGATGAGGTTCAGCAGGTGTAGGACTATTTTATGCTAATTTGTGTTTACGTATTTTTGAGTAGGAATTTAAGTTGTGACCACTGGGAGGCTAGGGCCTAGCCTTAGGCCTAGTTAGTTAGCATAGTTTAGCCGATAATGATTTGATAATGATAATGATCTTCACACTCTAGGCCTACGTCCCGATCGCCTCATGAGTATGACTAACTAAGCGAGCCCGATCGTCCGTCGTCAACGCGTTCGCGATTAGGTTAGCCACCATTCACACATGCCTGGCCAAGGCCTAGGCCTAGGCTATGTAAGTAGATTCCTGCTGTTAACATACCCCTATGTATACACATGCAAGTTAAATATACCTAGTAAACGACATACTAATATGAACTGAATTAAAATTGTTGGACTGTGTTTCCCTTCCTCTAAACCTAAAGTATGTACAGTACTTCATTATTACCGTTTGCGAGGTTATTGTCGTTGTCTGCCATCTTGACACAAACTACTGTTGCTATGCTACAGAGAGCAAAACCAAAGCTTTGAAATTATAGAGAGTACTCGCATAGCAAAAATTAGGAAATTGGGCCAGACGTACGCGGCGCCATTCTCTTTTTATAATGCAAGTTTTCTATACTTGGGCCCGACGTACAGGGCGCCCTTCTGTTGCTAAGCAAAGATCTTTGTTGCTTAGTATATCCAGACGCGCACGGCGCCCTTCTTTTTCCACTAATGGAGGAAAACTTTATCACTAATATCAGAGTCCGGTCAGCGATTTTTTTTTCCGTACGAAACATTTACATGAAACTCCACTCGGGCCGTCTCGGCTGAATCGACCCGAAAATCTCATTGCAGAATTCAGGAGGTCAAAAGGTAAACATCTGCAGAACAACTTCTGAGAGAACGTCGCTGTCTAATTTTTTAAAATACATTGATGTTACCGAGTTAATACCAATGGGTCGTTTAAAATGACATAATATTTGATTAGGCTGCACGAGTAATGAAAAGTGTTATTTTAACTTGAGTTACATACTATGACAATTTTAATTTTTTAGTTAGGCCTGGGTTTTGC